GACAACGTGCCCCAGAAACCGCACCTCACGCAACCAAAACTCACACTTGGAGAAATTTGCGTACAAGCTCTCCCTCCTCAAGGTATCCAACACCTCTCGCAAGTGCTCCTCGTGCTTCTCCTGCATCTTGGAGTAAATCAAGATATCGTCAATAAAGACTATCACAGACTGATCCAGCATCGGTCTGCATATGCGGTTCATGAGGTCCATGAACATACCAGGAGCATTGATGAGCCCGAAGGGCATCACCACGAACTCTTAGTGGCCATAGTGAGTCCGAAAAGCAGTCTTCTGCACATCCTCCTCTGTGAATCGCATCTGATGGTAGCCTGAACGTAAATCTATCTTGGAAAATTGTAACGCCCCGATTCTCAGGTATTAATATTATGACTTTAATTTTCAAGTTTCAAGGTCTACTCGACGAGTTGGATGCCCTGACTCGTCGAGTAGCAGCGGGTTTGGGGCCACATGTTTAAGTGACCAACTCGTCGAGTCAGTAGAGTGACTCGATGAGTTGGAGCTGGAGAGTGAAACCCTAATTTCCGGGGTTTTGCACCCTATTTAAGGAATCATTTGCCCCCTTAAGTCTCTTACAGCCTCTAGAGAGCTCTGAAAACCCTAATTTGTGTGTGTTCATCTTGTGTGATTTCAAGCTTGGAAGAGTGTGCTAGAAGAAGGAGGAGTGAAGCAAAAGACGTTTGGATCATTGAAGAGTTGGTGGATCTGAGTCTTCTATCTCTTGGCATCATTTGGAAGGTAACAAGTCGTTACCTTGCCTTCCTTCCTTTTTGATCTCTTCACATCTAAGATTAGGGCCATTTTAGGGTTTATGTGAACCATTTTCGGGTATAAGCTATGAATTGGAGTTGCAACTTCAGATCTGAGCTTATCTTAACCCTTATAGCTATAAAGTTCTAGCTGTAGCAAGTAATAATCTTTCCCTTTTGAGAAAATGTCATTCCAAGCTTGGATTTATAGTTCTAAGCTTTTAGAGCCTTGCATGCACGTAAAGTCTGCAACTTTACGTGATAAGCATGCCTTAGCAGGCTAGATCTAGTGATTGGAACACTGGAATGACTCAAAATCGTCTGGACATGGATTAGGTTGCATGGACTCGACGAGTCGGATAATCCGACTCGGCGGGTCGAGTAGGGTTTTGACTGACTGGTCATGCATGGACTCGGCGGGTCTGGGAGATGACTCGGCGAGTCAGTTAGGGTTTTCCAACACTTGAATGCGCATAAACTCTGCGAGTTAGTTGGGAACTCGGCGAGTCGAGTCGAATGATTCAGGAATCTTTAAAGAACTCGACGAGTAGCAAGTTGCACTCGACGAGTAGGTCAACATGGACTGTTGACCATTGACCATTGACCTTGACTCTGATCAAGGGTTGACCAGTTGACTTCCGAGGGTATTTTAGTGAATTGAGAATTTATGAGATTGGACCATTGGTGGTTATAGGTGTTGGTGGTTGGAACTGTATTTGGAAGAGTTGACAGTATCATCCTGAGCTTCTTGCGAGGTGAGTTCTCCTCACTATACCAACAGGGTCTAAGGCACCAATGTCGGCCCTTATCAGATTTGTATCCGGGTTTATTGCATGATATGCTTATTGATTTACATCCTGGTAGTTAGGATGGTGTTATGCTTAGTGACCTGGTTAGGTCGGTATCCAGGTATATAGGATGATGCTATGTTAGTGACTGGTTAGGTCTGTATCCTGGTTATAGGATGTTGCTATGATTGATGATCTGTTAGATCGGTTTGACTGTTATATATGCTAGCGTATGATATTATGTGCACATGTTGTTTGATTGGGGGTTGGGTTGAGGCGGACCTGCTTTGTGCTGAAGGCCAACATACCTAGGGCGGTCCGGATAGACTACAGGCCCAGGAGGGCATGTCAGTCAGACCGAAGGCCCGACGAGCGGTCTGGATAGGCTGTAGGCCCTGCGAGGCGGTCCAGACGTGCCGAAGGCTCGGAGAGCGGTCCAGATAGGCTGAAGGCCTGCGAGGCGGTCCAGTCAGGCTGAAGGCTCATTGTGCATGCTGTTTGCTTATATGTTATTGATACGTTTTATGGCGTTGGTATTATTGGGGGTAACTCACTAAGCCTTCGAGCTTACATTTATTGATTATTGTTTCAGGTACTTATGATGATCGCGGGAAGGCGAAGGCGTGATCGTACAACTCCTCATATTTCATGATTTTATGATTTGTCTATGGGATACTCTGACATTTTACTCATTTAAAAAAAACTAGTTTGTAATAACCATGGGTTTTGAAATGTTTTAAAAAGTTTAAAATTTGGCATGATTTTTATGAGTGTTACAAAAACCAAGATGCCCCCTGCAGTTGGTCGAAGAGATCATCAATCCTCGGGAGTGGGTAACGGTTCTTCACCGTTACCTTTTTCAACTCCTAGTAGTCTATACACATCCGATGCGACCCGTCCTTCTTCTTCACAAACAGAATCGGGGCTCCCCAAGGCGAACTGCTCAGCCTGATAAATCCCTTGTCTAACAGCTCCTGCAGCTGTGTAGACAACTCCTACATCTCGGGAGGAGCCAGCCGATATGGTGCATTGGCTATCGGAGCTGCACCAGGAACTAGGTCGATCCTAAACTCCACCTGTCTTTCCGGATGTATCCTAGGCAACTCCTCTGGAAATACGTTCGGGTACTCTCGCACCACTGGTACATCACTCACAGTCACCCTACCCACCTCCTGGGTATCCATAACGTAGGCGACGTACCCTGCACAACCCTGCTGAAGGTAACGCCTGGCCCTCGCTGTTGAACACAAAGCTGGTCCTTGCTGCGGCCTCTCTCCCTGAAGCACCAGCTCTCCCCCACTTAGGGTCCTGATACGCACTAGCTGCTGCGCACAGTCGATCACCGACCCATTAGGGCTCAACCAGTCCATGCCTATGATAACCTTGTTCCCACATAATGGAATGGGAGCCAAATCCACGAGGTAATGCTCGTCATACAGTCTCAAAACGCAATCTCTAAAAACCTCTGATGCCTGGACAGATCGGTCGTCAGCAATCTCAATCTCTAAAGGACAATCTAACATGCCTGAAGACTCAGAAAACCTCTTGCTAAGAGAAAGAGAGACAAATTATTGGGTAGCCCCCGAGTCAAATAACACCTGAACTGAGATGTTGTTCACATGGAACGATCCTAAATATAACACATAAACACAACACATAAATATCATAACTGGCATGTAATGAGATTTAGGGAGAAGAAAACATACCCGTCACCACATCTAGTGCGACACGTGTCTCCTTGGTGGTCAGCTAGAAGGCTCGGCTCCTCACCACTGGAGCATCTGTCTTGCCCTGTTGGCCATCCATAATCCGCAGGGTCGCTGGAGCTGGCGCCACAACAGGCGCTGCTACTGTCAGTCTCGGGCAGTTGGCCTTTTTGTGGCCCTTCTGATTGTAATGAAAGCAAATCAAGTTTGATGTCTGAAAGGTGGGGGTAGGGGCAGTACAATCCCTACCAAAGTGCCCAAGTTTGCCACACTTATAGCTGCCCGATGATCCCAGTCTACAAACCCCCTCATGAGTCTTGCCCCATTTCCCACAGCGGCTCCGGCCCTACTGGCCCTTCGGCCTAGTGTCAAATCCCTTGGGTTTCTTCCCTGAAACCCCAGTAATCTGCCCGATCTCCTCATTCCTCTTCTGGATGTGCTCGATATCAATCTCCCTCTCTCTCGCCCTGGATATCATGTCCTCCAAAGTCGGACATGCTGAGTAGCTGACATGTTTCCTGATGTCAACTCTCAACATATCATAGTACCGGGTCTTCCTCATCTCCTCATCCCTTGCTGTGACACCCCGACTCCCAGGTATAAGCTTTACAAGTTTTATGTTCATTTTGGGGGATCTACTCGACGAGTTGGATGCCCTAACTCGTCGAGTAGGGGCCGGTTTGACCGCGGGATTTAAGTGACCAACTCGACGAGTTGGAAGACCCAACTCGACGAGTTGGAGATGGAATGAGAAAACCCTAATTTCAGGGTTTTCACCCTATTTAAAGGACCTTAAGTCCCTTCCTTCAGCCTCCTTATCACTTGTTGACGGCCAAAAGGAAACCCTAATCGATCTAGACCCTATTCTTGAGTGTGTGAGGAGCTAAAGTGTGTTTTAGTGCTTTCATTAAGGGAACTCAAAGATTTAGAAGCTTGGATTGAAGAAGAGGAAGTGGATCTGCCATCTACATCGTTTTGGGAGCTAGACCGAGGTAAAAAGCTTGTACCTTGACCCTTTCATACTTAGATCTCTTCTTTGGACACTTAGGGTTTAAAGGAGCCACTTTAGGTTTGAGCTTGTCACAATTTTTTTATAGCTTATACACTAAAATTCGTTACAAAACATCGTATTGTTCAGATGAAATCAAATGAAAAGTCACAAAATTAAGTTACATATTTTCACAGCAAAAAGTTTCCGATTTACATGGTACTACAACAAACTAAAGCTTGGAGTGTCGCAGTGCTGACTGTTTTGTAGTGTAATTTAGAGTCAAAACCACAAACTACACCATATGGTTTGAGATTTTAAGAAAACCATAAACAACACTGCAAAATTATTATACCGCATTATGCGATGCAGTGGAATACAGTTGGATGAGTTGCAAATTGTTTTTAAAGGTTTACTTAAATTTAGCTTGATTCATATAGATTTTTAAATTGCATATGTTTTCTTATTGTTTTAGAAAACATTAGAATTTTACAAATTTTAAAATCTAACTTATGGGATGTGATGTTTGGGATTGCTTTTTGAACTCTAAAAGTAATTTTAGACAAAAGTGGTTATTAATTTATAGTGGTGGTAAAATGAGTTTTGTAAAAAAGTCTTTAGATTAGTTTTTATGGTTCAAAAGCCAATAAGTTCAAAAGCAATGCAGTTTGAACCTTGAATTTGTAGTTAAAAACTACAAAGCACAACGCATAGTGCAGTTTAACAAAATTACAAACTGCAGTTTGATAAACACGTCTAACTAATAGAGAACATGTACAACTTCCATAGCATAAAATACAAATCATTAAAACATTATTCCATCAAATACATTCACCACATATACATACACTCAATCAAAATCTCCATCAGAATCATCCTCCTCATCATCATAAACCAATCCTCCATCATCACCATCACTAACCTCCACCCCATAAATTTCATCAAGCATATTCTGTGAGTTCCAATCAGGCGGGAACGTCTTCTGAAGTGCTTCAGTGATATCACCGCCACCTCTTTCAATCTTCCTTAAACAGCGGGCCCAGTGGACAGCTGTCCCCATATCAACCGTTAAACCCGATTCCACCATTTCAGCACAGATGTGTTGAACACCCGAGTAAATATAGTCTTCAGCTACTGAAGCTCTTGATAACAACGATGTCATCAAACAATGGTAGACAGCTCCATCAGGTTTTAATCCTGCAGCTTTCATATCCTCAAAGCATTTTAAAGCTTTTTCAGGAAGTGAAGCCCGGGCCCACCCATGGATTAGGGTTGTGTAGGTTTTCAAATTGGGGTTCAATCCCGCTGCCTCCATTTCCTTCATTGTTTTCCCTGCTCTCTGCACTCAAAATCCATAATCAATAGATTAGTCACAAAAATAATAAAAGTACAAAGGGTAAATTAGGAAAAAGACATACAAGCATATATCCAGCTTTACAACAAGCATTGATGAAAGATGTGTAGGTCCGGATATCAGGTTGAACCCCTTCTTGCTTCATTTGTTGCATTAAATCAGCTGCTTCCCAAACATCACCTCTTCTAGCCCATCTATAAAAACAAAAACAAGATTACTAATTTTACTAATATCATAAACTTTAAAACACTAATCTTATTATAATTTTAAAAATCGTACCCATCTATAAGTATGTTGTAAACAAAAGTATTTCTTGGGATTTTTCAGGAATGCATTTCTTTAGTAACCGCTAAAGCACTTTGCATCCTTCCAGCTTTACAACAAGCTTTAAGTAAAGCCTCATATGTGAGCACATCAACATCTAAACCTTCATTTTTAAGTATAGAGAAAAACTCAAATGCTTTTCCAGTGTCACCTAATGATGCATAACCATGCATGATTGTTGTATATGTGTGTTCATTTGGTGTAATCCCTGCCACCAGCATTTCATCTAATATTTTTACAGCCCTTTCCATTTGTAAAAATAAAAAAATAAAAATCTATCACGTTTTTTACAAGTTAAAAATATATAAAAACAGACATACATACATACCTGCCATTTTTCAACAAGACCAAGGATTAGGGCATTGTAAGTGTGGACAGTTGGAATGCATCCACTCATTCTCATCATATCAAAGACTTGAATAGCTTTTTTAGCTTCTCCTGCTCTTGCATAGCCATGGATAATTGGCATAAATGTGCGTGAAGTTGGTTTATGTCTAACTTTTTGCATTTCCAAAACTGTAGTATTTGCACGATCCATGTTTCCCATGCCACAAAATGCTGTGATGATGTTGTTATAAAGCACAACATCTGGCTTTAAACCATCTTTTATAACATCTTCAAATATTGCAAATGCATTAGCCCAGTCTTTTAGCTTTATGAATCCGTTAATCAACATTGAATATGTCTTCATGTTATGCTTTATCCCGTTCCATTTCATTGATTCACTCACCTCCAATGCTTTTGAAACTTTTCCCATCTACAAAAATTCATCATATGACACCATATTAGTGAAAAAAAATACTAGATACATAATTACCATAGATAATGATTTGAAGTTACCTTGGTGTAAAGATTAATAAGACATCCGTATGTGACTTCGTTTGGTGTAAAGCCACATTCCTACAAAGGGTTTTCAAGGTTAGTATAAATACAAATCTTGCCTAAAAAAAAGAGAAAAAAAATATTACCTTGAGTCGCTTATAGACAATGAGACATTTATCTTCATTTTTAATCATTGTATAACCATCCATCATTGTGTGGTAAATATCCATTGTAGCATCAATGCCTTCTTCTTCCATCTCCCTCACCAAGGCTTCAACACCCTCCATGTTGAAGGCTTGGCTGTGTTGTGTGTGTGTGTGTGTGTTTTTCAGAATGTTACAAAATATTTTTTTCAACTTTAAAATATATAATTAGAAAGGAATACTCACCAATGTGCATAAATTATGTTTCCATATATAATTGCATTCAAAGTTGTAAGCTTGTCTTTGGTTTCCTTGAACCACTTATCTGCAGCACTTCCAAAATAAAAAATTGAATATTTAAGCAACTATTGACCATTTAATAGATACATATGTATATGTATATGTATGTGTGTGTGTGTGAGTTTTACTTACTTTACATCACCAACTCTAGCAAATCCTCCAATAAGAACACTGTAAGTCACCAAAGTCAATTCAATCCCCTCATCTTTCATTTTCCTTACACAAAAAAGAGCCTCCTCCATATCTCTACCTACTGCATAAGCGTGAATTAGGCTGCATAAAATAAGTTAATTTAATGCAGGAAAATGAAAAAAAGAGGATAAATTTGCAGTCAATATAGCAATATCCCTTACGTGGTAAATACATGTGAGTTTGGTTCAATTCCCCTACCCCTCATGCTCTCAAACATTTCTCTTGCTCGATGCATGTCACCTTTCTTTGCATAATACTTAATCATCAACCCAAACTCTGTCCTGGAAGGCTATAATAGTCAACTTTTAGAAAAAAGAATGAATTTATATATTAGAGTAAAGAAAGAAGGTTCAGGTTCTAGATACCTTTTTGATCCTTTCAAAAGCTTCAACAATAGCTTGCCAATTTTTTGGTTGAGTTCCTAACACATTTTTGAGGTCTTTTCTTGAAACATGTCTCTCTTCTTCCCATTTTGACTTGTAATCTACAATGTCATCACCTTCAATCCACCTAGCCCTATTTGCATATTTCTCCTTCATTCGCCTCCCATCATCAAGTTTTACAGTTAACACCCTCCCATGAAACTCCATACCATCAAACTCAACTGCCTTCATTGCTGAATTTTCAGCTGTTGTACCTCCATATATTACAAACCCAAACCCCATGTTTCTTTCAGTATCGTTGTAACGCTTTATTGATATCACTTTCTTTATTGGTCCAAATTGTCTGAACAGTTCTTCAAGCTCGTTCTTTGTTATCCACCATGGAAGATTCCCCACAAAGATTTTCCCTTTATCTCTGTACTCAATTCGTGTGGGTCCCAAATCACTGTTATTCTCGATTTCATCCAAATCAGTTTTGTACGCAGAAGAATCTGGCGGTGGTTGTGGTGGTGCTGGTGGAGGTGGAGGCGGAGGTGGCGGTGGGGGAGAGAGTTTGCTGGTTAACCAGAGCTTCTCTGTTAGGGTTTGTGAGTTGTTATTATTATTACCAATTGGGTTTCTTTTAAGTGTTTGAAGGGGATTGGTGATGTGGGGTTTTGGGTTTTGGAGGGTGGGGATTGGTGGTGATGGGTTTGAAGGGTGGTTTGTTGTTAGTGGGGCGGCGGAGGGACGAGGAGGTGGAGGTGGTGGTGGGATTTCCAGAGTCATGGGAGCACGTGGTGATGGAGTAGAAAGGGAGAGTGGTGGTAGAAAGGGAGTAAGGCTTACCAGAGAAAGTAGAGCAGTAATATGTGGTGGAGGAAGCAAGGGAAAAGTTATCCATAATGATGGAAATTGGAGATTGTATTCATTCAGTTCAATTGGTAGATATATGTAATCGCCTCCTAGCTAAAGATTCTCCAGCAACTAAAATTGATCAATTACAATAAACATGTCACAAGAAGGTTTACAATGAGAGCCAAGATTACTTGTATGTAGACTAATGGAGATATAATGATATATAAAGCAAGTTCACACCATAATGAACAAAACAAACAACCAAAAACTGAAGATACATTACGTGATCCTTAACTTTAATGGTTTTTTACTTGCATATCATACAACTTTACCAATCACAACCTATTATTTTCACAGCCATATAAGTTAGTGTTGTTATTGTCCAAATGTTCATCCTATTAACAAACTAAAATCAACAATGAGGGAAGCATAAACCATCAACAATTGGATACTTAGTTGACAAATTTCACCTCAGCTAAGGATGCAACCAATACGATTTTCATAACCTGACTATATGACAGTTAACTCATTCTGTTAGGAAATATGATGAATAAACCATGATAACGTACACCGTGTGTTGTATCCAGCCAAGCCATAGACAACACATCTTATTCAAATGGAAGGGATATGTCACAAATTCACAATTAAAAACTCCTTTACATTTGGCTATGCAGGAAAAGGTTTCTCGCTTTGTAAACTCCTTTGTGTAAATCAAACTTTTAAATCAAATTATTCAGTAAATTTCCAATAGTTCTGGCCTACGTACCTTGTAAACAGCTAGTTTAAATTAAGTTTCAACCAACAATATGTTGATACAGAGTCTGATCATTGCCCTAAACCCTAAAATTCGGAACATGAAAACCCCTACAACGAACTGTACTATAATATCGACTGGCTTGATGAAGTTCTTACACAAAATTCGAAACTAAATGTAATTTCCAGTATGGAGAGATACTGAATTGTAGTGACAGTGAATGACGCGGAAATAACATACCAGTAGCGGTTGTTCCGGTGAGTACCGGCGTCAGCTTCCGTTCTCTGGTGGTAAGTAGGGTATGATTATGCCTCTGTCTTTCCTTTGACCACTTATCCTCTCTCTACTAGAACGACGCACTTATCTGCAGCAGCAACTGTAATTTTTATTACTTAAAATTGAACTGTGAGTGGTAAATGGTAATTCTACAGATAATGTGGATTGATTTGGGACCCTACCTAATACAACCCGATCCGACCCGAATATAATATTAAAACAAATTAAAAAGATAAAAAATAATAGAAATCAATTATCAAAATTAACCCGATTCGATTTTGGTATTTATTAGCTAAACCAAAATGCGAACTAATATTGTACCATTGGGATTAAAATCGTCTTTTTAATTTAATTATATTGCTCCATACAACCGATGTTAAATGGTGATAAAGCTTGATATAAAAGACAGTTGTTTTAAGTTATATTTCTAACGTATAGGATGTGAGCAAACTAAACGTACAAGTTTGTTGGGAAGTTAGTTTATTTTTTTTTTCTATTCAACGAGTATAAACAAGTTTTTTGTAGTTAGAAAACGAGTAGGAACAATGTTCTAATTCGTTTATTTACGTTTGTGAATGTTTTTTTATTAATTTTCATTTATGTTCTTTTGTTTATATCATAATACTTGTTTGTTCGTGTATATGTTTAACTATAACCTTTTTACTTTGTTTGTCATAGAAAATAATGATATTATATATTTTGACTTTCCATGAGGTTTGAGGAATAATGTAGGACTCTTTTATGTTTATTTCTGTTTTTTTTATATATTTAAGTACAATTTTTCGTTTGTCATTTATGTTATTTATATTCGTTCGTTTATGTTTGTTAAACATCTTAACAAATATGGACATAACGATTTTTTAAACGAACATGCACAAAAAAAAAGTTTGTTTGTTGGGTTAAACTTAAACAAATGAACACAATAAATTCATGTCTATGTTTGTTTAAAACCATGCGACTACATGTTTCAATTCATATGAAATTGTCTACCTGTGGGGATGGTTTACTAATCCATAGTCTAGGGGTGAGCAAAAACCGCACCGCAACCAAAATTAACCGCATAAACCGCAACCGATAAACCGCAACCGCAATAAAAACCGACGGTGAGGTTTTCTGTTTTTCAAAAATCGCAAATTTGCGGTGCGGTGCGGTTATTAGTTTTCAAAAATCGCACCGCATCGCATATATTATAAACAACTTTTTTTATTAATTAATAATATATTAAATATTAAAAATAAGACAAGTTTCATTAATGAAAAGATGAATAAAATACTAGAAGACAAAAATATGGTTTTTTGTTATGTTTAACTTTGAAAAATGGTAAAATTAGACAATTTTAAGAAATTTATTGTTAATTACTATTGATTTGACGCTTTTAAGATATTAATTGTTTGTGATTATAGTTAATTGTCTTATACATTATGTTTTTTTTATTACAAGTAATATGTTTGAAATCTTAAAACCATTTGAGCTCTAAACTGTGGCTAAAAACCACACAAAATAACCACACCAAATCCATGCGGTTAATAACCGCAACATAGAAAAAACAAAACCGCACCGCAAAAATAACCGCCTAACCGCACCGCAAAAATAACCGCACCAAGTGGTTTTTGAAAATGGATTAACCGCATTTGCGGTTAGTGGTGAGGTTTTCGCTAATAACTGCATCGAACCGCACCGCGCTCACCCCTAATCCATACGACTTGTAATCCGTAGGTTAACGAGTGTTTTAAACCCACGCTGGAGGAGAGAGGGACCGTTTTCTATAATTGTGTCATATAGGGACTATTTCTTGAATTTTGTCTAACATACAAGGACCATTTATATAATTATGTCTTAGACATGGACCATTTCTGTAACTTTCTTTTCCATAATGACAATTTTTTTTTATAGTTTTGTTTTAGATGCTGCTGTAATTTTGTTACACAATGATCTTTTCTTTAATTTTTCCCTCGAAAAGGGACCATTTCTATCATTCTGTTTACTTACGGTAGCAATCACTTTGGTAAGTGTTATATACTATAAGAGATAGGCTTGAAGTTTATCCTAAGCGAACAAATTGACTATTTATTGGTTTATGGTTGTCTTGGCAAACTAACTGAAAAGTTAATTGATAGATGAAAAGTTAGCTGCTAACTGATTAAAAATGATAGTGTTTGGTAAACTAGCTGATAAAAAAATGATTTTTGATAAAACTAGGTTATAAACTAATTATGGCGTGTCAAACATAGTTAAGGATGTCAATCCGCCCCCACCACCACATTTTGCTTGTTTCCCCCGACCTCGAATTTCAAGATTGTCGCCATTCTCGCCCCCGTAACCCCCCATTAACCTGTTTTCCGCCGAAATGTTCCATTCAACCTTATTTACCTTATTTTTCACTTTCTTATTTCGTTTACCTTATATATTACACCAATCATTTAAGTACAAAACATATAGCACACAATAACTACTCTAAATTTAATATATGTTTTTCAAACAAAATAGTTAAATACATGGTAATTATATAAGAGCCCCCGCTCCAACATCTGCTCCCGCCCCCGAACCCACAACATTGTAAAAATACCTCCATACGAAAGCGGCGCCCCACGAAGGTTTTTGACATCCCTAAAGATAGTTTTACTCTCATTAACTAAAACCATATTGTCTACGTGAATAAAAATAAATTTGAAATGTGTAACTAGGACTGTAAACGAACCGAACTGTTTGTGAACCGTTCGACGGTAAGTTCGTTTATTTAATAAATGAACGAACATAACACTGATTTTCGTTCGTTTAGTTAAACGAACGAACATGAACAATGATCTTGTTCGTTCATTTATGTTCGTGAACGTTCATTTATGTTGTTTGATTATGTTCGTTTGTGTTCATTCTTTTAAGTTTATTTATGTTCATATATATTTAAGTTGTTTTTTATTACATTACTATATTATATATTTGTGTATGTTCACAAACATAAACGAACATGAACAAAATAATTTGTTAAACGAACGAATATGAACAACAAAATTAATCCATCTACCCATTTGTGTTCGTTCATTTGTTTGACTAACTTAAATGAACGAACATGAACAAGTTTTTATTCGTATTCGTTTGACTCGTTTACTGTCATACGTATAACTAGTATCTTTTCGTTTATATATGTAAAAAATTGAGAAGTCCTTTTCAGACTTTTAGTGATCAATACAGAATTCATAACATCCAATCATCGATGTATACACCAACATACACATAAACCTCACAGGCAAACAACAAACTCAAATCCAACTTACAATTTGAGTAATTACAATATTCTACAAAACAATTTAAAAAAAATAAAATAAAAAAAAATAAAAAAAACGAGAAACTCCAACTAAATCGAAATCTCCAAGCATATTCTACTAATCCAAAATTTACTAACCAATAATTCTTCTACATCTCAAAAATAAAAAACGTAAATCAAAACAAAAAACACTAAAAATAGTCAAGTAACCAAATTATTCTATGAAAAAAAGGTCACCAAACAATTCTTCTCACTTCTCAATACCTCCTAGCAAAACCACCACCTCCACCACCCCTACCAAAACCAAGGGCAGCCGGCAACGCCTGTGGCTCAACCGTCGCCTTCACAACCCCAGGGAGGTCACCCATCCCAAGGGCAACCAGCATATCAATCGTCTCCTTATCAACCTCAATCAAATCGGTTTTAATAGCAGATTCATCAGGCACAAAGTCCATACGCCGTTCCCTTTCTTCCTCCTGGAGCTTCAATGATATACCCCTCACTGGTCCCTTTTGTATACGTTTCATGAGGTGAGTTGAAAAACCTGCAATCTTGTTCCTCAGACGCTTCGAAGGGATGATTGCAACTTCCTCCAAAATCTTCTTGTTTGTATGGAAATCCAGAGTCATTTTCCCGTAATACCTCTCGATCACTACCCTAGATGATTTCTTCACGGTTTTCGTACGAACACGACCCATCTTTCAGCTCCTTCTAAATCAATATGATCAATGAATCTGAAACTATTAATAACAGCTAATAATCCTTATGCTTTTCAGCTTTTGGTGATGCATTGTAATTGTATTTGGAAGAAAAGAAATTTACAGGGCATTATCATTCCACACGTAACAATTATTCGATTAATTATATAATGTTGATTACAGAGACTAAGAATCGACCCCTAACCTACCATTTCGAAGCATCGCAAGTCGCAACAGATCACAGCGATGAGCGAACTATACTATAGGATTAGAAGTAATCAACTTCTTGTACGAAACTAGAAAGTCGAATGTGAGTAGCAATATTGGGAGAACTGTAATTATATGGCGGGTGATGACGGATGAGTTACATACCTGTGGCGGTTGTTCCGGTGAAGAACGGCGGCGAACTCCCCCTCTCTGGTGGCAAATAGGGTATCTGGGTGTGTGTTAATGAAACCAAAACCCTACACATTATCTTAATAAACAGAGGAGGGGCAAAGTTGTAATTTAAGGGTACTCGAAAAAAATGCTGTTTCTGCCCTTGTAAAACAATATTAGTTGAAAAAAGGCCAAAACTACAAAAACCCATTTTTAAAAATTACTATATTATTTTTAAATATTAAATTCTTATTATTTTCTAAAATTCTAATTTAAGATTTTCCATCTTAAAAAAACTCAATATATTTTCATCTAACCGTTAAAACAATCACTATATTAATTTTTTAATATGTTTAAACTTTTATTTTTCTGAAATTTTTTAATATAAAGAATTATAACCAACAAAGCCTTAAAGAGTGAGTTAGCTAATATTTGTAGCTGTCTAGGTTTAATGGTTTATAGTCTTGAAATTTTAGATAGTGTTAAAAAATATAAAAAACTTAACACATTGAAAGCTTTTTTTTTTTTTTTTTTTTTAAAGCGGATGAAAATATGTTCGGATAATTTTTGTTTAAAAACCCTTGGGTCTTGTAAAAAAAGTTACAATCGAGACATACTTTGTTTGGAAACGTCACATTATGACAACTTCAGGTAACACGAAGGGTTAAAACTGCAAATAATAACACACTCACTTGGCTTCAAATCAGAATTTCAAAATTAGCGGGAGCAAGTTCTTCACCATCTCCAAGTTCATTCTACCATGTATGCCCACCGAAATCCATAAAGAATCAGGATGATTTCACCTCCGAGTCATAGAATTCACTGAAAATATTCAATCTCACGTGTGTTTTTCTCAAGCATGGATCAAATTTTTCTTTAGATTCTCTATTTGAAAATCCCCATTTCAAAACCCTAAATCGATAAAGGATGGATCGAGTAGTGTGTCCCGAAAATGCGGAGCTCGTGGAGTTCATGTTGAAAAAACAAAAGGAAATGGTGGATTTATCGGAGAATAACGTTAAGACGATATCGAAGGCCTGCTTGAAGGTAAGCAGTTCCAAGACCCCAATCAAAACCCTAAAGGACTTCTCCAATGTCAAGTAACGATCACTTTTCACCATATACGCTTTTATGTATCTGTTGTGAATCTGAAGTTTTCTCCGAATAATTGCATTTATCTTGTACTACTCCACTGCTGTAGAAAATTATAGGGTAATTTGACTGTGAATGATGTCAAGCAACTTCTTTTTTAATTGTGTCAGAGGTGTTGGAAATTGGATCTTGAGAATCATGAAAGGTTTCTTTGTTGATGAAGCTGAGAATGAAGAGATAATAGAAAGTGGTAATTCACACTTTCTTTTGTTACCTTGCAGTTAGCTCTTGTTTTCATTCTCTATAATCTCTATGTATTCAACATTATAGGGAAAAGAAATAAGGGAAACAAGCAATATGTGCCTCAAAAGAACTCCGCAGCTTATGCTTTATTGATCACTCTTTACAGGTAAACATGATATCTCTTTCCTTCTTACTTTTTTGTGTAACATTGGCTTAATAACATCACTTTTATGCTAGGGGTACATCTAATGGAAGTAATTTTATGCGAAAACAAGAGCTAATTGATGCTGCTGAAGCAAGTGGATTGTCTCGCTCACCTATAATGTATGTATTTACATTTCTACCCCTTTTAATGGTGTCTGTCTTGTTCTTATATAATTACAGGCCTGAAATAGGAAAGGGGAAAGCAGGCCAGTTTGGAGTTAGCTCAGGCAGGGATTGGTATAGTGGATGGAATTGCATGAAAAAATTGATAGATAAAGGGTTGGCTGTAAAATCAAGTAACCCTGCAAAGTAACTACATTTTGGCTTTTTATATTTTTATTTATCCTTCTCATATTCATATATAAAAAAAAGCATGAAAAGTTGAACTGAACATCTGTAGTTTTGGAACCTTTTGTATTTTAGATACATGCTGACTGAGCAAGGAAAAGAAGCTGCACGTGATTGTATGTTGAGATCTGGATTGGTTGATTCTACTGATGATCTTGCTACTTTGGATAAAACTTCAGATTTAACCCAAAAAAATCTGATAGATTCAGTGTGCATTGATGCTGAGTTGGTTGATGACGTGGCATCTAGGCATGTTTCTTCTAGTCTGCAGAAAAAACCAGTTGAGATTCCTCCAGATACTCTTGATAAGGTAGAGTGTCTTGTTTTTCTCATGAGCAAACACACACTTTCTTTTCTTTGATGACCCTTTGGGGTTGTAGTACTATGGTTTAAAAAAATTTAATTTTTATTAATTTCTGCAGCTTGTGAGAATGGGATACTCAAAAGAACAAGTAATCCATGCTTTTTCTGAGGTCTCAAAAAAGTCACCAAATGAAGAACCTTCTTCACTTTGGCTATCTGTTTTATGTTGTCTTCGTGAAGTCGAAGTCTACAGTTCACCTTTGACCAATGTTCCAAAAGTCAAACATCATCATCATCATCCATCATCAAGTTCTTTCACTCATAAAGAAACTACACAACTCCCGACTTCAATCAAACCTTGTTCATCATCTGTAAGTGTGACCTAACTTTTTTCAAAATCTTGAATCTTTTGAATTCATAATAATATTTTTGTTGTTCTTTTTAATGTTTGTTATAGGAGCAGAATGAGAGGAAGCGAAGTAGGAATGTTCTAGAAGCTAAATCAAATGTTTTATCAATGCCACCTTTGACACTTGGGGACCGATTCGAGGATGTATATGAAGTGGTTTTAATATTAGATGATCGGGAAAAATTCACTAAGGAGTGAGTAATTATTTCAAACATTTTTTTTAATGTTTTTTATCATGCAAAATAGTTTTAAATCTAACTAGTTTTCAGGTCAAGGTCTAGAAAGCTTCTTGAGAATATCCGACTCCATTTTAAGATACCAATAGAGGTAAATCAGATTTGACTCAATCAGCAACTATCAAACAGTCTCTTATTAATATATTAATTATTTTTTTTATAGGTGAGGCGATTACCTGTTGGAGATGGAATTTGGATAGCTCGACATAAACATATTGGTAGTGAATATGTTCTTGATTTTATTGTTGAAAGAAAAAATGTTGATGATTTAAGATCTTCCATTAGAGATAATCGTTACAAAGAGCAAAAAGTTCGGATCATGGTGATGTTTCTTACTTTTTTTTTATTTTTTATTTTTTATTTTTTATTTGAAGCTGTTTATTTAATATTATTTCTAATTTATTATTTTTATTTTTCATGAAGAGGTGTGGGCTCAAAAGGTTGATATACCTAGTGGAAGGTGATCCGAATGCTTTAGAAAGTGCTGAAAGTATTAAAACAGCGTAAGTACATTTTTTTTTATATAATATTATCTTTTATTTATAATGATTTCTTTTTGTATGAATAATATTTGTAGATGTATGACAACCGAAATTTTGGAGGGGTTTGATGTACAGAGAACAAGTGGGTTAGGAGATACACTAAGAAAATACGGTTATCTTACACAATCAATAACACAATATTACAAATCTCTTGGCAATGAGGGGGAACATGTAGATTTCCCAATTTGCCCTCCGTTTGATCAGTTTATCGAGAGGTGTCAAGAGTTAGATAAGATGACAGTTAGTGATGTTTTCGCCACCCAGCTCATGCAGGTATAAATATAATATCATTTTTTTATGCACTTTTTTTTTTTTTTAAATAAAGTTTTGCTACATTATTTTTTTTAGTTAATTAATTAACAAAGTTTGCAGGTTCCACAGGTGACTGAGGATGTTGCCATTGCTGTACTTGATTTATACCCAACGGTTTCATCACTTGCTCGTGCCTACTCGCATCTTGTAAGTTTTTTTATAAATATTTGAGAAAATAAAGGCATAAAGAAAAAAAAAATAAAGAAGAATTTTTTGACTTGTGTTTTAATGATATTGGTTTGTTAGGATGGCGACACGTGTGCACAAGAGGAGCTTCTCAAGAAGCAGAGTAACAATGTCATCAATGGAGTTGCTAGTAGGAACATTTTCCAATTTATTTGGGGTGGTTGATTACATTTAATGTGAAAGCGAAAAGAAATGAAAATTTGTGGGTGTTTTATTTTTTCAGTAATGTCGTAAAAATAAAAAGGAACTAATAAAGAAAGTGAGAAAATTAAACATTCTGCTAAAATATTTATAATTTTTTAAAAAATACCATTATCTTTACAAGAATTAAAAGGAAAATGCTCGTTTTTTAGTGTAATTATTTATTTAGTTAGTAGTTACTTTGAAACTTTACTCAACTACAATGGTTGCAACATATATAATATAGTCACATATTTTTGTTGGTGAAAACGACCTAATTATTAACCTTTCTAAATTTGACAGGTTTAATATAATTGGATATCTACAATTCTGTCATCTTTCATTATCTCATGAAAAGCTTTCAACATCTTTTTCCTTTCCTATACGAATTGATCACCACATATGTGTTTTGCTTTTCTGCTTTATGTGCATGCTTAGCTGTATTTAAAAAAAAAAAAAAAAACCCGGCTAACATCTGCTTTTATTTTGTGTTTTGTATACGTAAGGGGTACACGTTCTAATTTGCAATTGTTTTTTTTTTTTTTTTTTTATTAATATCAATATATGATTGTAAATCGTAAAGCTTTTATCAAAACATCATTTTCTAGTCGCCAATGTCTTTATATTGCTTTATCATGTGTTTTTTCTTTTGAAGTCTTGATTAGTCATGACAACTATCGGATTTTCTGATCAATAACTTGGTAGAAATCCCAAAAGAGGTTTGGCAAACTTTTTGTGAAATATCCTTTTGTGGCACTTTAAATTTGTGGAACAACTTTAACTAATCAAAGATGTAATAAGATATGGACAAAAAGTGCATTCACTTAGAATATGGGAAAACTTATTGGGTAGGTTCTCTTGGTAAAAGATAGAACTTACTATGCGGTTGCTTTCATCTTGAAGAGAATGTCACAACGATATCTTGTCCAAATCGGAGTTGATTTGAATGTGATATTGACTCTCAAAATTCACTTCGTAACATATATTGGTTTAAATGGATTGTGATTTAATCAAATCAAAATACTGAAAATAAAACAAAAAAACATTATGCCATTTTCGTAAATAAAACTCCATATGCCCATGCTCACCCTCCCTGACTCTAGGAGGACACATGACAACTTTCTATTTGGTGACTTTATTTCTACTCTCCATTTTATTTCGTTGATAATTTAATACATCAAAGCTAACTTAATATAATTAAAATGATATGATTAAAAAAAATATATTATAATTAATAATGATATGATTCATAATGTATAGAAAAAACAAAAACTATAATCCAATTTGATTGGCGATGAGAAGAAAACAAAAGGTACGATCTAATACAAGTTAAGGAAAATATTTTGGAACAATAAAATTTCAGCAACATGGATCATTGTGACTGGCCAGAATTTAGAGACAAAATTTGTGATTTTGAGTGATTAAGTGATGTGGAATTAGCATGACAAACAAACAATCTTGTCCTCATCTTCATGATCAATCAAAATTATAAAAAAAAGGGGAAGTTTTGTGAAGTGAGATGAGATCTACAAATCAAGTTATGTAATCTGGATATATAAGAGTCTTTTTAGTTAAGAGTTTAATCCAAAACATGTTTTCAGAAAGTGTAATCTAGATACGAATCTTTAAATTAAAGGTTTTAAATTGAGCGATAATCAAATGAGTCCTTTAATCATTGAGCTTTTGTGAAATTAAGCCACAAAAAAGAGTTGACTTTGAGGGGTAGTCATGTTTTGACCAAAAACAATTACCTAAAAATTGTTCCTTTTTGTCATGTGAACCATCTTCAAAAGTTGATGGACTACATAACACACAATAAAGGGATCAATGCAACCCACTATACAACTTGACCAACTTTAATTCTATTCTTACCCCTCATATCTCTCTATCAACAAAATAATAATTAAAAAAAAGTAAAAAAAAAGTCAAAGGTCAACTTTGGATTTTGAGAGTTTGATCCTCTATGTCAATTGATTCCTTCACCATTTCAACATTTTTTTGACAAACAATCCCATCTTCCTCACCATCAAAGCTAGCATGGACACTATATAGAACATATACAAGCACCACAACTGCTGAAAAAAATCCAAACCGAATATAAGAAGCTGTGTCAATATTTCCCAACAGAAATATGTTGAGAAATATCGACACACATGGTATCCATGGCATAAGCGGCACCCCCCAAAAATCAGGCTTTCTTGCTTGTGGGACCATGTAACTAAACAACTGTATTAATCCAACTCCAATTATAGAACATGCACCAAGCATGAACCCTTTGGGTTTCCCGGGCGGTGCGAACCACCATAACAGGGTAAACATGATGGAAGTGAATGAAAAGCTTAACAAGAACGACAGTGTGGGCCATGGGACTGTGGTCCCCAGTGAGACGTATCGTCTGTAAATGACTGCGTTTGAGACCATTAAGAAGACAAAAAGTGTTCCGATGGAGACAAGGTTGAGGAGGACGTGTAGCTCGGTGAATAGTGCTATCGCCGCAGTCAAAATCCCTAAAAGTCAAAATACATATTATTTAGTCAAAAAAAATTCTAGAAATTTATTTAAAAAGGAATCAAGGATTATCTAAACATATAGGAAGACAAACAAAATCTTAAAATTCACAAAAGATTTAGAACAAGTACATCAAAAAGTTGTCCAAGGAAAGTTAATTAGTTAAGGGAAGAGTAAAAGTCAAAATTTTGAAGACATTAAAAGAATGGATCTAATTTAGTGGTTGTAAAAGAAGGAATTCACAAGACCCACATGATGGAGATATGATAAGATAGGATTTGGGGATCACATAGATTTTCAAAGAAAATACTACCAAACTTTAGAACATGATTCTTGAGTGAAAGTCTTCATGAGACTAGTTTTGAGAGCATATGCTTTAGTAACTAATTATGTATCGAGTATTCTTCCAATTAATATTACATTTCTTTTTCAAGATTCTTATACCCATTTGCATTTTAGTTAATAGAAATAACATAGATTGTTACCAATCATATACAAAAATCATAATCTTTAATGTTTGATTATCTATAACATCACAAAAGTATCATTGATGCGTATCGCATGTGACTTCTTGAATATTTTATTAAGATAATGAGTCTTAAATGTTAATACTTTTATATTATGTGATTTAAACAAGATTGAGTGTATTATAAATCACACTTGTTGTCTATTGCTTGGTGTATTATCTGGCTATGTTTAACTATATCTCAAGAACATATAATAATAGGATTTCTTTATTAGAGTATAAATGTACAATGATAGTACTCTTAATGTACTAAGTATACTATATATTTTAATTAAATGGGATATAAATTTGAAAAATGCATAAATTTCTCTTATATATAACCACTTTATATATGTAAGACAATTATAGAATATATTATAGAGATTGGATCACAGAATTCCAAAGCATTTTATTTTATATTCCATATACTTCATAAAACTTGATATGAACAAGACCATATGCTCCCCAACCAAAACGGTTCATATGGGACCAAGTTCCCACACGGCCTAACTTTCTAAAAATATTATTTTATTGTATATTTTTTTTATATAAAATATATTATTATCATATTCGTAGTTTAAAGTGATACCTTCTTAAACAATTAAGACAATTTGATACTTCTAAACAACGATTTCTTTATGTAAAGAATGAAAAACTCACTTTTCGTTGTGCACTTGATTAAGCCCGAAGTGTCGAAAGATATATTACGTTTTAACATATTTCTTTTCTAATTTGCAAAGTAAACTACTTTTTTGAACAGAATAGGGCAAGCATCCTTTCAATTCTTTATTTTCACAACAAAAAGATACTTTCTTTAAAATAACTAATAAAATCGATTATATGTGATTGGAAAAAAAGATACTTTTAACATCTTTATATGATATCATCATATCTAATTTATTAAAGGAATAGTCTCAATTATAGTCCACAATTATTTTGAATTTATCCAAAAAGCTAACATTTTACATTTTAATATTTGTAAAGGTAAAACATACTACAACTTTCATAGTTGGTTACCTCTACAAATACTAAAATCCATAAAATGATCTTTTTATTTATTTATTTTTTTATTCGTCGGCTTAATACAACTTCTAAACGAAGTAAAAGCCATATTAATTCTTTTTTTTTTTTTTAAAAAAAAGTAATGACATTGTTCATTGTTGTAATTTGGGTAAAAAGGTTACCTAAAAATACCGAAGCGTTGACTGGCGTTGACGTTTTAGAATGAACCTTAGCAAACCAAATTGGGACCACACCAGACCTTCCTATGACACAAATGTAACGAGCTTGGCCCAACATTGCAACCAACAACGATGTTAGTATCCCAAAACTGGCCCCAACTCCAATAACATTGGAAACCCAGTTAAATCCGTTTGAATTTCCCATAAATGCCCCTGTGAATGGTGATTCTGGATTTATCTGTAAAAAGTAAAGAAATTTCAGTTACTTAATGAAAATGGGAAGAAAGATTTTGATAGAGCATAATAAAAGTACACTTATCAAAGGTACCATTGTTATTGCAAAATGTACTAGTCGAGAAGTCAAACAGACCAGGAAACAGAAATTAGTTGACATGAGACAAGTGTACTTTTTGGCAACCACTTGAGACAAAAGTCCTTTTCAAAAAACATTTTTGGAAAGGGCCTTATCTACAAAATATTTGCAAAAATATGTTAATAATTCACTTAGCTTTTAACTAAGTTATTTGCTTTAATGAAAATAAAAAATGCATATAGATTTTATAAAGTTATGGCTAATATGTAAGTAAATGTGTAGAATACAAAGTAAATATGAAATTTACATTTATTTTTTTTAACAAATTTACTTGTATATATGAAAAAAAAAAACTAAATTTATATATTTGCAAAGTCTTTAATTTGTATTTGTGTATTAGACAAAGAATTTATCAAAATAGATATCAAAACAAATCTCTTTGTATTTTTGTTAAAGCGAAAGAGGCAAATGTTAAAATTCAATAATTGTTATATTTATGATATTGATATGCTACTAGGTTTGATTCAAAAATAATAAATAAAGATTTACCTTGATTTGATATTCAAAATCTAAAAAGTAAAGTTTGGGTTATTAATTTCTCTTATCATAATAATAAGATGTATTCTATGATAAATCTTATACTACTTTTTTAGCAGAAGATCGTATTCTTAAAGTTGATTATCAGTTTATAGTTAAAAAAATATTTTATTACTGCAATTATGTCTGCCATGCAATGAGATAATCCAATAGAGGAAAACATCATCCACAAGAAATCCAAATCCAAGGGTATTATCGTCAAATCATGCTCAAATGAAGATTTTCACTTTAGGAAATATAATAATATATTTTAATTGAAAAGGATACATACCAGATCGTAGGGAAGGAGCATGGACATTGAAGCGGCCATCAAACAGTAGAGAATGGTAACGAGGATAACGGAGCCTGAAACCCCAATAGGGATATCGGTAATCGGATTTTTAACCTCCTCCGCCAGCGTCGACACGGCGTCGTATCCTATGTAGCTGACGTAAACCAGAGCAGCTCCATTGAACACCCCTGGAGCTCCGAAGGGAAAGAACCCGCTCGGATGATTCGGATCCGATGCCTCCGTGAAGTTCTTCGTGTCTCCTTTCCAAAACCCCATCATGATCACAAATATTATGAACAGAATGTGAACCGCTGTCAAAATCATGTTCAATACAGAGCTTTCTCTCGTGCTGTGATAACAATTCAAACGAACTTGAAATCAGAACAATTTGAAAATTAAAATCGATTTCATATTGTTGACATTTGATTTGAAAATTATGAAGGAGAACCTGTAACAGATTATGACAGTGAGAATTAAGATGATGAGGACGGCGATGATGTCGATCTGATTGAAACCTTTTGGAAGAGAGGAAACGGTTATTCTCCATTTCGATTCTGCAGAAACACCAATGGCTGTTCCGAGATAGGTAGTGAAACTTCTCGCTGCCGCAGCGTTTGATAAAACGTAATCCATTACCAGATTAGCTCCAACCAAAAACGCGGTAAACTCGCCTGAAACATAAAAAACGCAAATACATTCAAATCACGTGAATATGAGTTTGGTGTTCTTCTACCTAAGAGCTAAATGAGAGAGAACAAACCAAAAGTGACGCGGATGTAGCTGAATGCACCGCCGGCAACCGGCATGTGAACGGCGAACTCGGTGTAACAGAAGGCGGAGAGCAGTGCGCAGAGGCCTGCAATGGCGTACGATAATATAACGGCGGGACCAGCCTTGTCGTGGCTAGCGGTACCACTAGTGACAAAAACTCCGGCGCCTACCATACCTCCAATGCCGAAGCAGATGAGATCGTACCAACGGAGGTTCTTCCGCATATCAGCACCAGATCGGGAGCGGATTCGGCTGGTTTCCTCGAAGGTGGTGGAGACACATCCAGCGCGGCGGATGAAGCGGCGAGGGACGTCGGAAAGAGCATGGAAGTAGGAGTTAAAGCTCGAGAAAGAGGAACCATGGCTGTCCATCACCTTTTTCACACACTCTCTGTGTGTGTAATTCATGGCGAAGAAAGGGGATTTTATAGGGACAACACAACAGTGGATTGTGCCATTTGACGGAAAAGCAAACGGCTGATGAACTTTTCATTTGGGGTCCCTATAAAATCAACTTCTGTCAAATGGGTCCCAATGTTTTTGTTTTAGATAAGCATTACACTTTTTTCATCATTTCTAAAAGGTTCACCTTTATCATATGTTGATATTATGATATATACACTCCACTAGTATTCTCTTCATGGAATCAACCAAGAAACTAATTGTGACTTGTGATTTGACATATACTGAAAGAATTTATAGGTCAATTGTAAATAAAAGTATTCAAAATTAATTTAATTCTTGTTGTTAGAGTGAAAACATCTTGTAAATATATTCTTTCTTTCTTGATAAGTCTATTACATGAAAAATGAAAACGTCTTTTCATTTCCTAATAAGGAAAAAATCATTATTTGTGGATGGAACTATGTTAATATATAGTCAAAGTCTTGCTATGGAAGCTAAGAGCCTAAGACCCTTGTTTGCTTGATTCCTGAAAAGAAGTCATTGGTGTAGATAGCAAGGAGATTTACAAGTGAAAAGAAAGCAAAAACTTTCTATAAAAAGGATCGGATGCAATGACACTTTAATGTTCAAAATTATATGTGCTCTACATTTAAGTCAGTGGCAAATTCGGAAATTTCACCTGGTTGAACAAATTATAAAGTTGTTTCTCTACACTTTCAGATTTTTTTTATAAGTTTTCCATGTTCATAGTCGACTTTGCATGTAGATCTATTAGCGTATCGTTTTTTTTAATGGACTTAATTAGTTAGAACTTAATCTGGAAAGCTATAGATTAATTAGTAGTGCATCGTTTTTATTTAATGGATTTAATTAGTTAGAACTTAACGTGGTAAGTTATAGGTAAGTTATATTATGAGTGCTTTATTTTTAGTATAATGTCCTCAACTGAATTAATATATGAAACATGGAAATATACTTTCCTTGTTAAGGTCTAATTGTTTATATAGTTGACCTTAAATATTTTATGAACATTATTTCTATAGACAAACTAACTTTAGTAAGAAAAATACACGGTCTTAATATAGCATGTATAAGAAATAGAACAAGAATGGAGAACGTAGGTAGAATGTGCGATATCTTAGTGTCATATACATTGTCATTCAAATGAGGTATAAGGTTTTAACAGCAGAAAAAACTTCTAAAATATGAGTAATAAAATGCCAAATTGAGGCTGTTACACATAGTTTCTACGGAAAACCTAAAACTTAAATATATCATAGAAGCATATCAAGTATCCAAAGCTAAACTCCCACAATGATAAATATTGCCTTCATTTGCACCAATTTGTTTCTAATTCGGGAAATACAACAATTAAAATCACATTTGATCATTGAAGTGATGCTTATATTAAAGATGCATTATTAGATGGTTATAATGACTCTCAATTAGAGTAGGAAGATTTTTACTATTTATAATAATTATTTAAGTATTTTTAGGCTTATATGTAAGCCTATTACATAAATTATCTAGATGTTATCTTCATTCGTTCCATTACATCATTTTTTCATCCTTCTCGTTGAGAGTTTTAGATTTTTAGTCATATAACCTTCTCATTTATAGACAAGTTTCATTAATATACCAAATTAGGTATTACGGTTTCTCAATACAAGGGTTTCCACATTTATTTATGTTCTTGGTATTTTATTTGGTTATAGTTGTAATCATCATAAATATAACAAGTTTAGAAATAGATATCAAGATTCCAAAAACCTGTATACCTTCCCTATAGTTTTTATTATACGTTTCACAAAGTTTTTTCTTGGTCGATTTTTTTTTCCAAACTTTAGCATGGTCTCTTTTGAACAACTTTCTTATACCCTTCACAAGGTTTGACCTAAATTCATTTTTCCTAATCTCTCGTCATATATTACCATCTTTATAATCGATTTTATCACTTGGACGTTTCTAATTCCTAATCGGTTTTTTTATCCCACAAACTTGTTCCTATAATCGATTTGATCCAAACCCTTTTACAAGGGTATAATCAATTTTTCTTATGTTTTCTATGAAGTATGATCTTCCATCTTTGGATCATGACACCATGTTTTACTTATGGAATGATAGATGAAAGTATTGCTAGCTCAATTTCATTAGGATGATACACTAGAGGCTTTTTTAAGCAAGAGACATAACCATGAGATTTTGTTGATCGTATGTTTTTGGAGTTTCGGGACATTGTCCTTTATGTTGCTGAATTTTAGAAACTTTTTTTTTTCTGGAAAAGAGATATTTCCCAATGATGGTTTTTGCGCCAGCTTTCGAACACCGACTAATCTCCCGTTGCAAACATGAGATTATGCCTCATGCCTTGGTGTCACTATTGACAAACCTCATTTGTCACAGGAGCTGAGTAGTGTCAGAATTTGAACATGAGTCAATATGTTATCCATCATATCTTTCACATTTCTTACCGAGTCACCACAACCCAAATAGTTAATTTTTTAGAGACTTTCAACTTTGGTATTGTTGGGATTTCAAGATACTATCACTTATTCGTTGAAAAAGAATTAATGATTGTTCGATTTGTTCAAGCATTATAATACCATAAGCTATTTTGGCCGTTAGCCAACTTTTGGTCGAAAGAGTTTTATGTCGTACGATATTTGGTTTAAAGCTTTTTCTTCTTTAACTCACCTCTAATTCGGATAGAGCCTTATTTGAGAAATGTACCAGTTTAGTACATGCATGTATTCGAGAACATGTTATATACTATGATATGAAAACCATTTTGGCACGAGCGATCTGGCATTGTTACAATTTTTTAACGTATTTATAATAACCTAAAGTGTTTTAAAAGTACATGTGTTGAGTTTAAATGTCCGTGTCCAATGACATTTTAGTGATATGATTTGTCACCGTGTTTTTCCGTCTATATTGTTCGAGAGAGTTTAGCCATTAGAGGCTTTTGGAACTATAATTATTTTGACTATCTATAAAATTTTGAACTTTTTTTTTTGTTGAATATTTTTGGTTTCGTCTGAATGTGGAGTTGGTTGATAATGCTCTAAAACGTTTTTCTTGCATGACAATGTGCTGATGCAAGTGCAACTTTTTATGGAAGTGTTGCATTTGATTGTTTTTTCCTTAAAAAAAACAACTGTTGGTGCATATCTATTTATAATGTGAATTCAAAAAATATTGCATAAAGACTCCCATTTATTTAGGAATGTATTTATAAGGGTTATTTAAATATTATTACGATTCTTTGTAAGACTCTATAATAACCAACTACATGCTATTTTTCCATTTATTGCATTACATCTTTTTCTCACCCTCAATTTGACGATTTTCAGCAACATAACATTCTCTTTTATAACTGATTTCATTAATATGTCGGGTTCTACCTTGTGGTGTTTTTCCAAATGATATCCACATATATTTATGTCCTTGGTGTTTTATTTTGCTTATAATTGTGATCATGATATTTATAACAACTCCAACCATGACCATATATGAAGCTTGCCTCTAATCCACCCATCTCTATGTAAGGGATTGATTCTAAATGTTTTTCTTTTTCTTTTCTTTTTCCATTTTGCCCTCTTTTTCAATTATTTCTCCAGATTGAAAGGAAAAATTGTAATGTTTTGATCTTCAATCATATTTACCACTCGATGAACACCCTAACTATTGTTACCACAATGGTTATTCCGGCTTTATACGTTTAGTTCTATTTTTTTCTTCTCTTCTCTTTTTCATTGTGTACTTGGACAAACTTAAGTGAAAAGATTGTAAGTTTTATATTTTTTTATTATCATAAAAATACATTTTTTCTTAAATATAAAATAGTATGTATAGACATTCTCAACCGCGATACACAAATAAATACATAAATATAAAGAGTGTTATGATGACGAAAGCAAACTCCAAAATTTATAGTGAGTCAGCAACTTGACTACTCCAAAATTATATATCTTCTTCCATTCATTTCTTAACTAGCTAAGAATATCTCCTCAAAAGTTAAAACCTTATGATCATTGATGAAATATTTCTTCTTCGGTGGTAAGTTTGGCAATTTCAGACAAAGTAAAAAACAGCATTAGTATGTGTTCTTTGCAATTGAGGGTACAAATTGAATTAAAGCCATAGTCTAGGTGTAAAATATAAATATTTAATTAATCCATATTTTTCACCAAATAAAACTATCCAAGTTATGTGATGTCTTGTGAGTACACGTTTATATCGAAATGTGCACTAGTTAACATTAGCTATTTGTTGTATTATATTAAAAAAAAAACTATTGTAATAATTATTTTCTTAGGGATGACAATATATGTGTATAATACAAATTGGATAACGGATAAAAGAAATACTTTTGAAAATAAATAAATGGACTAATGGTACAAATATTATTGTAGTTGGACCTTTTTTTTTTCTTTTTTTTTTAATGATGATGATATTTTAGTTTTATCAAACAATCAATAATTTTTATTTTCATTTAGCAGTTTTAGTCGGATCTCTTGATTTTTAGGTTACATACATGTTACCAATTAATGAATGTGCTTCCCACCATCCACTATGGCACTCTAATATTAAACAACCTTTTTAAAAACTGCCATACACTCTTTTATATCGAAATGTGCACTAGTTAACATTAGCTATTTGTTGTATTATATTAAAAAAAAAACTATTGTAATAATTATTTTCTTAGGGATGACAATATATGTGTATAATACAAATTGGATAACGGATAAAAGAAATACTTTTGAAAATAAATAAATGGACTAATGGTACAAATATTATTGTAGTTGGACCTTTTTTTTTCTTTTTTTTTTAATGATGATGATATTTTAGTTTTATCAAACAATCAATAATTTTTATTTTCATTTAGCAGTTTTAGTCGGATCTCTTGATTTTTAGGTTACATACATGTTACCAATTAATGAATGTGCTTCCCACCATCCACTATGGCACTCTAATATTAAACAACCTTTTTAAAAACTGCCATACACTCTTTTTGTCATC